CAAATGCAATTCTTTTTTTAAATTAGTGCATAATGACGTACGCGACGAATACCCAGTTCTCGAGAACGATGTCTGGTAGACGTCTCAGGGCGCTCCACTACACTTTCACGAGCTCTCTCGATATTTTCCGGAGTACGAACAGTTCGAACACTGCCCTACCTTGGCAAGTCTTTAACTTCACCTGACCAACTGACGCATGGTGTTGACACTGGGCACATTATTTCGATCGAAATCGTGTCATAGCTTCCGAATAGTTGCAAAAATCAACTCATTATTTAAGTAAAACGTTTTAACAATACGGACGCTTGTATCGAAAATGACAATTTAAGTCAGTCAGTTATATATTGGCCACCCTAATCAATAACAACAATAATAGAGCATAATCAATGTAAAGTCATAGAGAAAACATAAGGTCACTTAACACTTATTTGTTACAAAAGATTTCGCTGCTGAAGTAGAACTACTTTCATTTCTTTTAAACAACGGTCCAAGGAATTATATAATTTGATGGCTTGTAAATACATGTGTTCTGAAATAGGGATGTTCTGTGCCGTGGGACTGAAAAAGTATCTCTATATCTTATATTAATGTCATGCATCTTTCCTCTACGTATGAATTTGGTTACTAAATATATCTGAGATTTTGAATAAAGAACCCGATGAGTGGACCTGGGAGGTGGTATTTTTACATTTTATCAATTTTATCATCCAGTTGAGGTCATTAATGGGCGATATTTGATCATATTTTCTGAGATCATGTATTCATAACATTTTAAATACGTTTTTTTTGTTATAATATCTAAATAGGGTTAGTAAGCAACTAAGCAATACGACATTTTTAAAAACAACAAAGATTCACATAATTGCTTTCGCGTACATTTATAATATAGCCTGTGAAATTAGGTGGTTTACGTGTTCAACAAATTTTAATTCATCACCTATCATAATACCTAGGTTCTTAGAATGATCCACAGGAACTATTTTATTACCTCTCAAATTTATGTTTGTCATTTTTTAAAGCATTCATTTTTGTTTTATTTGAGTATACTAACATGTTTGTCTGTAAAGGGTGGTTCAAACGTAGATTATACTACTAAGCTTTTCAATTTGGGCAAGATCTTGATTGAAAATATTATTCGCTGTTTCCAAGTCATTGCTCCAAAATGAATAGAGAAGCTGGGTATCTTCGACAAACAATTGTATGCTGCATGATTTTACCTCTGCTTTTTAAATCTGAGATATATAATGGAAATAACAGGGTTCCTAAAATAGATCCAGAACGAATTTTTTGTGTGGTAGAGCACTGTTGATTTAGTTTGACTCGGCAAGAGAATGGATTTGCCTGAGCATTGGTAATAAAAAACAAAAGCGTATTCCATAGTTCTCCTGGAATCCAGAAATTTATGGGTTCGATTCCTACCGATACAATTATTTTTCTATTTGTTTCTCTGAATTTCTACGTTGAATCTGCTTTTTGGACTTATATGAGACTTGACGAATTTATTATTATTCGATGATTATTTTTTTGTTTTAGCGTCATTAATTTGAATATTTATTTGAAAATGCTAGACGGAGAAAACAAAATAAACTGTTAATATTGTTCAACTGTAAACGTAATTATATTTAGAAGAATAAATATACGTCAGTACGATGTACTAATGGCGTACGTTTATGGGTTACTCTGTTAAACACGACTTTTATTGTGTTTGGCAGCTATAACTTACAAAAATAAACTTCAAGAATTATCCGAAAATTCTTAGTACCTTTGCGAAGGTTAGCAAAAGGTCATAATTAGACAATTTCACAAGTCAGAAAAGAATAACTTAATTTACGAAACGTGAGATACCTTTCAATACTTTTCACTAACTATGCTGGTCGTTAACCTACAAGTTAACGACATAATAAAGTACCGCTAACAAAAGTTTATCTTGATTAATTGAATTCAATGGATCAAGTCAGTCAAACATGTCCATTCAATCTCCAGTCTCCAGGACCAACCTTGCACAGTTTTGTGAATGACATTTAACATTTTTGAATAAGGTATACATAGGGATAGCAGACTAAGAATTCATATCTAACGATAGAGAGAATTAAAGTTTCACTTAGCCGTTTTTTCAATATGTATATTTCTTAAAATGGGGACCTATTATTGTATAGTACACGAATTCGTATGTAAGCTTTTTGGACTAAATTACTAACGTGTTGTCTCTAACGAAGCTGCTCATCAATTTGTACACCTAAAGTTTTGGATACGTTACAGAAATGCAGCTTAACACTATTAATTAGTCTTATTTTGTCATTTTCTGGACACAGGAAAAGTACAATGAATGCACTTTGGATTTATCTTCAAATTGTGTATTTTCGATTGATGGTATATAGATTCCAGGTCTCTGTTTGTTTGTATCATAGCTGTTCGTCAATTTTCGGGATTGAAATTATGAATTATTTGGGTACCTATCATTGGCATAAATTTGAACGCATGAATGATTTACCCATTTACGTGTTTCTGACGTGTATATTAAAAGTAAAATCGGGCCTAGAATTAAGCCTTGAACGTTTGAAATAGAAGAAATGTTATTATTTTACGAGAGCTGTATAAAATGTCATGTATCATCCAAAAAATATGATATCTCATTTTTGAAATTCCCCTCGATTGTAATATTACCTCGCCAACTGGCTGAAACAAGTGAAATATCATGAAACATGTTATATTTCACACACACAGACTTTTTGTGAAAAATACGACGCGTATTTAAAATACCAAAATTTCTTATTTACATCACAAAACTTAAATGACTATATACAGACATTTTGAAAAGAAATAATGCCAATTTTATCTATAAACCACACTGTTAGGCAGTTTGGTTACAGCGTGGTGACTTTCCTAGCTCCAAAAATAGACAAAAGACTCTTAGTGGATCTGCAAAGAATGACCAGACGCGATACGTGACCGTATCTAATTCGGCCACCATCTAAGAAAAAGACTGGAAATAAAATAACGGACACACACTTGGTGTCGCATCATTTCTCCAGATCTATATACGTCCGTCCTTTGCGGAAGTGCACAGACCCCAGGGAACCACTCAACGTCTCCACAGTCGATTTTTTCGTTTTTCCCATTCCCCTTAATTGGGCAGCGGTACATAGCAAACTCATCGCTTTTCCTTTGCAGAACACAGTGGCGCACTCTGGATTAAATGGGCCGTATCCTATCTTTGCTAATCAGTACTATTATAAATCATCACAGAAAGGTGACCTAACATGCAATTTTTGAATCACACATAACACAAACTATAATGAAATAATTAGTTCTGATAAGGCAATCCGTCCTTAACATAAAATCTCTACTAAACTTGATACTGGAACACCAAAGACAAACAAATAGTCAAACCAACAATAAATATTTTTTTCTCAAATGATCCACTTCTTTTCTCTGATTTTTTCTTCCTTCCTGAATTTTTTGTAAAGAATTTGACAGCTATTTTATGTTTATACGGCCCAACTCCTTCAAAGTTAAAAAAATGTATAATTTAGTGGATCGTATAGAGGGTATAACAAGCATTGAGTAAATATTCAATTTACCTAACTACCTTGCGAGAAACCCTGTTCCTCAAGCCAGCCCTGTTAGCAAGGCGCTATCGCGCCCTCTACTGGGCAGTGGGACGACTACTTCTAGCCTTTTAGTGTGGTCACGTAGTCGTCCCACCGTCTTTCTGTTAACAGTAACAAGGCTGGCTTGAGGAACGGGGTTTTTCGCACGGTAGTCAAGTAAATGATTTCTTTGTTATTATATATTATTTACTCGATGTTTGAACGAATAAACATCTTTTAATTGCATTTATGCGAGCCTCAAATCATTCTTTTTATATTATAAACCCCGGAGCTAGACAGAATCCTAAAATATTGCTCCTATAACTTCAACGATGATGATACACAGCTAAATATAATATCTGAAGAGACATATATCGAAAAAGCGTTTTATCCATTGAATGAGGACTTTAGCATTCACATCTGAGAAGTGCTGCCTAACACTAAACCCTTCGAAATCAGTGGTCTTTGTTAGGAGTAAGATGCCTTAGTAAAATAAATATAAGCATAAATAGTAAAAAGTTATTGTAAAATATGTAACACAAATTTTGGGTTGATACCTAGATTATTCACCCAGGTTCTCGAAGCATACTACATCTGTCTTAAAAAGAGGATACAGTAATCTTAAGATCCTATACAGGATGTTCATTTGGAAACCACTGATTAAAAGAAAAAACGCCGAAACATGTCAAAAGTTTTGTCAAGGAGGACAACTTTTTAACCAAAAATTACTTCACCCTCTTTTACCCTCTGCCCCCAACGTCATCCCCTTAAAAATTTTAAATGACAAGGGGCATCGAGTGATAGCTTGTTTGAAAGGTATTTTGGTGTCCTTTTTTTTGACGTTCGATTTTTTGAAATCGGTCGATTCGTTTTCAAGAAAATTAGAAAAATCTTTATTTATCTTAATTTGTTCAGAGAGAAAACAAAAACACACGAAAATATAACTTTTTATTTCAAAAATTGTTCAAAATGTTTCCCGTTATTGGCCATGAAAATTAATGAGGTGGTCTGTCAAACAGCTTTGAAGTCAGTGACATGTGTATCCAAGGATGGGATATTAAGCACACGAACGTTTTTATCTTTATTAAGAGTTTTTTTAATAAAGCAGCCACGAAAGCAGATACTAAATACCCAGTAGGTACTAAATGCAGGAATTTAGAGCGACACGCCGATTTCTGCCGGTGAGCTGGAAGAAAAGAAGACTAGCAGCGACTTCTTCTCTGACGAGAGACCTGGAGGTTATCACTGCTTGGGGACGCAACAATCTGTGTACAGTTTAATGCTTCCAAAACACAGTACTGTACCTTGACGAACAAAAAGCGCTCATCCGACTTCGTAGTAGACTTTTCGGTCTCCTAATCAGTCCCGTCCCAGGAGAAATTTTTCTCTTGGCTATGGATGTTGTGATTGTCCGTAGGTGGTAGATGGTCTCTGACTGTCAAACGCGGAGGTACCACCCGGCGGTTCTCGTAGGCGGAGCCAGAATGTGTGCATGTTGCATCCACACGTGTTCCCTCGCCAGAGTCCCCCCCTTTCCCATGTATCCCCCTATAGCCCCAAGGTACCCAATGGGTGCTTAGGCCTCAGGCCTTCGTGGTAGTTGGAATATAAAAAAAAATATGAGAATTAGGAGCACATCTCACATGGATCCTATAATTTTTCTCTAGTTTGAGAGACCAAATTCATTAGAATCCATTCCTTCTCATTGTGGGTGGGTCCATCTCAACAACATCTTTGTCGTGGCGTATTCCGCTCTTCGGCGGTACCCGCTACTACAATCACCGTCAGCCAGTTCCGTGTTGATCCCCGGACTCGTCACATCGCGCTAATAAATATCGTTAATTCAATCGCTTGATTAGCAACGACACCTTTGTCGTTGCTATTATATAGTTCCGACGCATTCCGCCCCTCGGCGGTACCTGGTATTTTAATCACCGTCAGCCAGTTCCGTGTTGATCCCCGTGTGCGTCACATCGCGGTAACAAATATCGTTAATTTAATCTATTGACCAACGACATCTTCGCTATTAATATTTCTGGAGCACTTCGCCCCTCGGCGGTACCGGGTACTACAACCCCCGCCAGCCAGTTCGTTGATCCCCGCGTGCGTCACATAGCGCTAACAAATATCGTTAGATCAATCTCTTGAGCAATGACGACACCTTCATGGTTGCTTTTAATAGTTCTGGCGCATTCCGGCTCTAGGCGGTACCGGGTATTTTAGCCCCCGTCAGCCAATTCCGGGTTGATTTATTTAGGCTGGATTTCACCAAGGTTGTCAAATTAACAGTCCGTTATTCTCCACCTATAGGACAACAGTCCGTCAAATACAGCGAATGAGCTTCAGCATCCAATCAACAAATTTCAGCAACCAATGCCTATGAAATGTTGGAAACAAATTATTATTAAAGTATGAGATGACAGCTTGTCCTTGAAACATTACCAGCTTATTGAATATTAAGAAATTACATATAATTCAGTCAAAATTTAAAGAAATGTTTGATTTTTGAATAAAATTCATGTTTTAATTACTATTGTTGATTTTTTATTCATGTTTATATTATTTTCTTCAATTGATATGCGATTTTACTGTTTTAACATCACCTCCTGTGTTTTTTTTCCTATGAACCTCTTACAGATATCCATTAAACACCTACTTGATGACACTCTACCAAAAATTTCATAGAGATTGCTCGTTTCCACACATTCATTTACTTGCCGTTCATCAGAACCATTATGGCACCTTAGATTGATATTCCCACAAAACCATTCAAGTTTTTTGATATCCATACATCCATAAACTTGAAAATTTTTCGCTGTTCAGGAACTGAACAAACATCCACACTGTATTCACAGCGATTAAGAAATACCCAAATATATGTCGTAAAGCTACCAGCAAACATAAAACCTGCAAAAAAAAATAGAAATTTGCAATATTTTTCTTTTTTCACGAGTACACATTCTAGGTTATATAATTAGACATTATTTGAATAACAGCTGATTATTACATTTCAAGACTCCCCAACGAGTGACGCATGTGTGGGATCCGTCAACCCTTGGTCCCAGTCACAAAACATATACCCTGAAGAAGGTTTAATTCAATGCTATTCAATGACCACACGGTGACTTGTGTGGTTGTCAGCGGCCATTTTTTGAGGGTGCGACATGGTTGCCAGTTTGTGCATTAATATCCCGTTTCACCCCCCTGGTCTCAGTGGAGTACGCTCCGCCAACTGTTGAAATATACTCTACTATGCTTTATAAGACTATAAGTAGAATTTTTCCCAAAATCATTGCACAACAATTGAAAAAATGCAAATGAAAATTTAAACTTATTTCCATGACGCCCCAAAATAGCTGCGTCGGTACCTCGGGTGATACATCTTGACAGTAGGGATGTTCGATACGATCCTATAATTAGAAGTATCGATACTTTCGCTTCCCATACCCGATATTTTAGATCGATATTTTTATATAAGACACTTGGGTATATCGATACATTTCACGAGTATCGTCATCTTTCGATCCGGACTGTTTCAGAAAGAGTGACTAACTTCAGATTACTTTTCTTCTTTGTTTCCTTCCGATGGATATCCATAATTTTATTCCAATATTTTAGAGTATCGATACTTCCTAAAACGATAAGAATCGATACATAATGATACTTTTCGCAGATCTAAACATCCCTAATCTTGACAGCTTGTAGTTCTTGTCAACTGGGCTGCAGGGTGCGGTGTTGCCTTTACTATCTTACATTTTGCTAAAATTTTATGACAAATAAAAGTCTCAAATGAAATATTGACGAATATGAACGGATATGCATAGAATTTAGAATATAAATTCATATTGCAAATTTCAGAGAGAAAAGAGAATATTATCTACGATTTTTCAAAATAATTTAAATATTTGGGTTAAGTTGAAAAACGCTTTTTAGCGACACTTCGCCTTTTTATACTTTGTATAAATAAAGCCGGATTATTATTATTATTATTATTAATATTTCTATACTTGCTGAAAAAGAGCTGAAACCAAAAATAAAGCTAAAAGTTAATTTTATGGAGTATTCATAGTTTTATGCCCCATATCAAGCATACATATGCATACACACTCAGGCAATCGGGCACATGAGAGGCGTAGATTTGGGTTGCCCATAATTACGAACGCACATCCTCATCCCTTACTCCGCTTGCCCTGAATTGATTTCTGTGCACACAAAAGGTACAGACTGGTAGATTACCGTCATTACCTCATCACCGGACAAGCAATAAAGAAACGGAAACCTGTCTGTTGTCAAAATAAATATTTAATTAAAATGAGAGGTGAGTTCAGGGGTAAAACAGAAAAATATGCACAATCCAGGAGTTTCCAAAATGGATTGCAAAGTACTTTGAAAGAGCGACCAGTATGCATATTGTGGAAGTTGTAATATAGAACTATGCCCTCAAAAAACATGTTGTGTGCGCGCCCAATACAATAACAGACGTTTTTCATGACTCAAAGGTCCTTGATCTACCACTGATCTTGCGACTGCATTTACCTTATACCGAACTCAACGACACTATTTACCGATTCCGTTTTTTTCCGGTTCGGCAACACTGCAGATCACTTTAAAAGCAATTTATATCCCAGACGTGTTGTAATATAGAAATAATAAGAAAATATAACAATGTTTGGAGATAAATAGGTATTTTTGATTCTGACTTATAATATCTAGACGATGAATAATAGGTGGATGCGGATACTACTGTCTTTTTACATTTGGTGTGGATTTCTAGATTATTAATTGGCAAATTTTTTTTTTGATGTAACAAAAGATGATGAACCAGTTGGAATACGTTTTATATCCTTTTTTTTTGCAAAATAACAAAACTCGGTACATTTCTACAGGTACGTATTATATACATCACCCTGTACGTGATATACAGACAAAACTAGATTGCCATTCATTAACAGTCATCAAAAACAGTGAAAACATCCTCCCAGATATGATAGCAAGAAAATCGAGCTATTATTTGCAGCATTCCCATTGGTCCCACTTAAATAACTGAAATGATAAAAATTTGAAATTCTATGAAAGTTGTCATAATTCTAAAGCACAAAGACATAATATTACATCTATAATGTACCCTTAATTATAAGGCAACCGTTTTTTCACGACTTTATTCAACATTTCAATAGAAATCACTGATATTGAGAGAGCTTTGACAGCTTGTGTCAAATTGCATTTCGATAAGGTATTTTCCTATTGGTCCAATGGACCGTTAAATATTAATGTTGGTAAAATTGGCCCTTAGTGTATTGAATATATCCGTTATTACTGAACCATCTTCCTTCTTCCTCAATCACAACCAACTAACACACTGAATTCATTGGTCCAATTTGTACCAAAGCCGCAAATTTTGATTCTCACTTATTAGTAAATTGACGGCCAACTTGCAGGCTTGGGAAATTTGGTTACCATGTTTGTGGCGCCACCTACACGGGTAAAACTGCGGGATAGAAGGCTCCATAAATCGAGAAAGCAACCGACCTAGATCATTCTGGGACACTCTGTCCTAGGATTCTCTGTCCTATTTCAGCCCAGATTTCTGCAGCACAGAAAATAGAACCTAGATACCTTTGACATTTGGTAGGCCGCGGACGGGCAGCGGCGAGCGTTGCACTCTGGAATCTGAGCGCGGCGCGTCATGGCAAGCCAGATAGAATATATACAGACGGACTACGCGTTGGGCGTTAAAAATAGATCGCTTCATTTCGTTTTTCTCGGTGATATTGAGGTGTTTCCTCCTTACGCTCCAATTTTCCTTGACGCTGATAACATTGGACAATGAAAATGAAAGGAAAAATTGGCCAACAATCACATCTTAACGACCGAAGGGCGAACCACCTTTTAAAAAATGGCGTCTAACAACAACCCACGTAGGCCATTAATTTTGAAACAAACTTGCGGTCAATTCTTGAAACGGAGAAGTCGAATCACTGGGAAAATGTGGGCGTGGTGCTCTTACCTTTCAGCGAGCTATATTGCTGAGTACTGTTAAAACAGTCACATTGCAGCATCGCAAACATTGCATTGTTTCAGCTATTTCATAGTCAATTTTTGTTTTTTAATACCGGCAATGGATAGAACGGAAACTTCTATGTCCAGGTGTGTCTCCGATCAAGGTCATACATGAAGGTCAAATGCTTGAGGCTAGGGAAAATTTGCAAAGGATTCGCAGGGTTATTGATGAAAAAGGTAAAGGTCTTTAGTAACTTTTAACAAGGCATTTAGTGGTGACCTTGGATTCAACCTTTTACCTCACCGTCAGTCGTTTCAAGAGCTTTCAAGTTTTTTTGAGCTCCCCTTCTTTATCACCCGTAATGGAAATCTTTACATTTCAATGTATTCACATTTACTATTATGATCCTGAAGGTGATGCTCTAGGTCAGATGCAAGGTCTATATTGAAATCATTGTTAAAAGTTACTGGAGGTCCGATCTTGACTCTTTTCATCAATAACTCTACTAAACTTCTAGGAGTTTTCCCTGGTGTCATACAGTCGACCTCGATGTGAGCTATAGAGGTGACTTTGATCTTAGATTCTAATGCGTTTTCGTATATTTTTTTCCAAATCCAA